CGTTGTATTGAAAGATATGGTGATGGCGTTAAAGTGTTTTCTAGTTCCGCATTTGTGGTTAAAGGAGAAGTAGGCCGATTTACTGATTGATTTCGGCTTGATTGAAATTGCGAACGCTTTGAAAAAGCATTACTTTGTATTGCATCTGATGGCCCTTTCAATTGATTATTCAAAGCTTTGGTTCCAACAGAGTTTTCTAAGTTTTTTTGCCGTTGAGTTACTGATAGAGTACTTTTCTGGATTTAAATAATTGAATACATTGTTTAATACAATCAAATAATCAAATACAAATAATAAAGATAGATAAATAGATAAAAATATGTGTATATATATAATATAGGTTCGAAAATAAACAAAACTGATTTAAAAGAAAAAAAAATTGACAAAAACCATTTATTTTATTTAAAATGGGGACAAGAAAGCCAGTCAAAAAGCTTGTCGAGTGAGTATTTTAAATGATCGTCTGGGATGATCCATGAGAATATCAGTACAAGTCTTTTTGTTGGCTTTTACAAAAGTACAAAATATTTTTCTTTTATTTACAAATACAGTTTTCCAAAGAAGGTATTTTCCCATATGTTAATAACCAACCATCCTGTATTCTCGAAAGTCTTGTTTAATTTCGAACACTCTTTATTTATATTAAAAGTTATCCATTTTGACCAGCAATCTTACAGTACTGGATACTTTCGAGGCAATTTTCGAAGACTTTCTAACACATGCATATTAATAGCTCTGCCATTACTAAACAAGTGTTCTTTTTAAAGAGTCAAGAGGTTAGAATTTTTCGCAAAAACATAATCCTTTACGAAGTCAATTAAAAAATACCATGTGGTCGTGGTGAAATTACTCGTTCGAGAAATTTTTCACGCAACAAAGCCTAAACTAAACGTATTGTTTGGCTTGTGGCACTAACATCTATATCTTTTACAAACATATCTTCACACCTACATGCCATATACTGACCTTTTGTGAGTACAATTGTCTTACACCATTGTTGATCTCTTGTTTGGACAAATTCACCAAGAGGAAAATAAGCTTCGTTACTGGAAAAAGTATTGAAGTAAAAAATCGTCACCCTCCATATTGTAAAATGCCAAACTTTCACATGACATATATGTTTTGACATATATCACTGAAACAGTACTTCCAAATCAATACCAAGAAATGGATAACCCTTTATATATGTAGGTATATATATATTCTTATATTTTATTTATTGTTTAAAGTTCAATTATGTGTCTCTTTGAATCAACTTACATTAGGCGTCTCTGATGAACTTTCTATATCACTACAATTGATCTCATATTCGGTTGCAACATTGAAATTCTGTGAGAGTAAAATATTCAGACTAATCTTATTAGCTGTGTGTGTTGTTCGGGAAGATTTCGTTATGCAGGGTTGTTCCTCTTTGGCCGGTAAATATTTATTTTCATGTCTAAAAAAATTATAGTATTATTTACATAGATATATGAAATAAAATAAGGAGTAACTTAAAAAGTATATTAAATAGATAACGTTGAAAAACTTGCTTTGAATCGCAGAATGTAAACGCAGTTATATATTTCAAAGTCTATAATTTTAATATATAAACTTAAAAATTTAAAGCTTTAATGTTAATTATTAATTACATCATTTAATAAAATAATCAAGGCAGTGAAAATTTCTTTTAGTTTAAATATATTAGATAAAATTTTTCAAGATAAATTTATGTTTCAGAAGCAACATTAAACCTACATACATTTAATTTACCGTGTGCGAGTTCGTTAAATTGATAATAAATTAAGGGAAATGGTAAATTATGTCGGTATGGCAGCGAATGTTGGTATTTACCAGAATTTCGAGTAGGGCAAATTAGATAAAAATTAGATAAATTAGGTATTACCATTGTGAAAATTGCATAAGATGTTTAATAAATAAATAAATAAATTTGAAAACTTTAAATCAAAAATAATAAATAAGTGCAATAAATAAGTAAATAAATATTTAAATATTTAGAAAATTTCAATTCACTTTAACTCAATTTACCCGAACTCGCACACGGCCTTAGTCTTCCCTCTTGAAGATTAGTTATAAGTACTTATATTTCAAAACTGCTTAAAGACATCACAATATTATATTGCAAGTAAATGGCAAGTTAATAATAATTAATAATTTTTATTATACGGACCTTTATTTAAAAAAAAGGGGCTAGAAAGAATACTCTGTAAATTTGTGGTTTGAATAATTAATATTCTTGTTATGAAGAAGAAGCAGCAGTAGGAGAGAAAAAGATTAATGGAGTAACAACAATGATAAATAATAACTCATAAGTCAACACAAGTTTTGAGTTATAGCTGGACGGTCAGTCCGTTTTGAACATGAGAATCTAATCGTAAAAGCAGTCTTCTCGTAAAAGTACCATTAAATTTATCACAAATGAGTAGAAATATTTTCTAGAGGACACCTCCCATAAGAAATTTTTAAACAAAAAACTTTTCATAATATGTATATTTAAAAAGTATTATGTTTTCCTCACTCTCTAATGGTTCCTCATGTCTACCGGAGTGTAATTTTGGAAACTGTGTCATGCAAGGCACTAACTATAGTGTTTGAGCACACTTAATTTATTATATGTTATATATGTCAAGCTTATTGAAAAAAAAAAATTAAATTATTGGAAAAAGTACTATCTCCTTGATAGTTTCCTATTTGCATGAAGCATAGAACTTAGTTACGTGTATTTTTGTCAGGTAAAAGTTCAATGAACGAGTGCTTATTGAATGAGGTTAGTAAGACTAAATTTAGGATTGCAAAATAATTATTACAAATCGACTGAAATTAACTACTTTCATTTGTTTATAAAATATTTTCCATCACGGGATCAAAAATAAATGCAATCATGTCGTGTGTGCATGTCA